CCTCCAAATGCCCTCTGCCTCCAACCTCAACGGTTGAGCATAACCCTGTCATTCCAGTGCCCACGGTGGCCCAAGGCCGCGGGGGTTTTGATCAGATTCTGTCTATCAACATGCAGAGGGCCTGACCCACCTGCAAACCACCACTTCCTCTACGCAGGCCCTAGCTTACGTTCTCGCCAAGTGCCTCTTCTCTAGCTCTCTCTCCATCTCCTGGAAATCCTCTCCCTCAAACTGTCTCAATTACAAATTCAGCTAAAATGAGGAGGAAGACTAGAAAAGAAGTCATGTGACACCAAGACTCTTCAGGAGGATTTAACTGAAGGGCATAAAATCTTTAACAGTACAAATAATCTCAACGAATTTCAGACCAGGCCAGATGACAAGGCAAGTGAGCATGAATTAAAATTACAGATAAATACATTGGGAACAGATGTCGGAAAGAACTTTTTCCCAACACCGAAAATCTGGAACGTGCAGCGAAACCCTCCAAAGTCACTGGCAACACTGGAGATAACAATTAGAGCCAATTCTGAAGGGAATGAAACCCTGAGGGGTGTGTCAAGAATTCAGAAATGGGCCAAATGATTGGTGTGTTGTCCTGGAGGGATCCTGAGAATACACAGTCAAGTTGTTTTCCCCCCTTTAACTGAGAGCACCAGCAATTTACAAGCAATCACTTTCTGCTAAGGCTACATTCACGCTTTTATTACTCCTTCCCAGGCAGAAGCATCAATGTCACTCTGGTACCCACTCGCCTCTTCTCCACCCTCATGACCTCATACTTAAGCAGACAAGCTCCTGGCTAAAGCCATTACCCTCGAGGTAATGATGAGGGTAAACAAATTTCATGCTGCTGGCACAAACTGTCCAGAGGCATCAGCGACTGACTGCACCAGTGATTAGGATTGTTCTGGCTGGTGCTGCTGGTGACTGAGACCTTGGACCCCAGCAATTGCACAGCGGCCGCTCCCTGCCAACGTGCATCACCTTGATTCTCCTTGCATATGTTCCCCCTAACTCCCGCAGATCCATCCCTAGGACATCCTGGCTGCCCCTGAAGCCCTGCAGATTTAGCCACTTATCTTCATTTTTCTCTGAAGTGTAGAGAAATTAGTTACAGCATTTGTCACGACCCAGGATCTGAAGAGGCAAAGTGTCCAAGCACCTTGTCTGGGTATCAGTTCTGTTGATACTACCAACACCGGAAGTCAGTGAGAGCCTGTTATTCTTAACTCAAAGGTCTTAGGTTTAATTCCCACAAAGAGAAACTCAGTGTAAAGCTATAGTCTGCACCTCCCTCCTTGACCAGAAGTGTTGCAGGGCGGGGGAGGGGAAGTGTGACAATATCACCTTATAAAACAAAGGGCATGACTCAGAAAAAAATCAGTTTCATAACCAAGCCAACACGTTATGTCTTGAGGAAACAAGTTGTAACTCCGTAAAATGGGTCTCAACACTATTTCATCTATGAAACAGATAGAGCCTATCAGCTGGTACAGGAAATAATTTCATTCAGTCATTGACGGGAAAGCGACAGGACTCCTCGATGTGGTGGGAACATATCCCCATTCCTCCCTCAACCCCTGCATTTAGAGGGTCGAGCCATAAAATGTGATCATTAAAAACAAACATTTTTTTTTAAAAGTTGGAGAGCTTGATGGATATGATACAATCAACTGATGGGGTCAGAAAGCTTTTAAAAGCACCCTCTGTTCCTTCTCAAATTCCAGTCTAAACCTGATGAAAATAAACCTTGAAAAACTGCAGTTCCCCTGGCAGGTATGAGAATGGCTCCGACTTAGATTTCCAAGGAATCAAACTTTCATGGGGTGGTTTCCCTCAGACTAATGACCTGCCATTCCCAGTGAGACAGAGAGAGACAGGTATGCTAATTGAAGCACCTTCGGTGCAGGAACTCAAAGAGGTTATGGCCACTTGCATTTCTGTAATCAGTAATATCAGGGTGGCAGAAACCATACAGCTGCAATCACACCGCTGTGCTCACCCCTGAAATACGCATTTCAGGTCATCGGAGTCCCACCTCTCTGCCTGCCGATCAGGAGACAATCTCAATCCACAAAGCAAATGGTACAAGCCTTTTCACATGCAGGATAAAAATTACCACACATAGAAATGGAGGGTTTCTCACCTTTCCATTACTTTCTGTCTTTGAGAGGGGAAAAGAGGAGGAGGGAGGAGCGCTGAATAATACGCCTTGTAAGAGGCTCACCAGGCTTTCCTAGTCTTTTCAGAATAGAAATTGTTCAAACCCCCTCCTCCTCTGGCAAGACTCCACTAAAAACATGAACACAGAGGAAAAGGTAAAAGACAAATAGAAGTCAAAGGGGAAAAACACTTCCCACAATATTGCGAGAGACTCTGGGGCTACTTCCAAGGATGCTCTTGGGAAATAAATTAGAATTAAGAGGTAGAACAAAATTCATGGAGAACATAGGTCGAGACAATGGACCTTTGACCACATCTAGATAGATCTTTTCTGTTAATTTTCATATACATTTTACATTTGCAGGAAAAAGAGAATACCCCACTGCCCAGATAATATCTTTTTCATTTTCTGATTGCCCGACGTGCAGAGCAAGCCCCAGTATGTGGCCAAGTGGACTAAATGTTCTGGGCTCCTCTCTGCTATGGGTCAACAGAAAAGGAGTAAATGATGCTGAAAAGGGCTTTAGTCCAAAATAATGCTTTCTTCATTCCAGGGTCTGAATTCTGAGAATAGGAGTAAATAGGAAAAACCTAAGCGAATCCATATACCCAAATGCTTTCACTCAACCCACTCTTGGGAAAAGGGGCTCCCACTCTGTCTTTTCTGAAGACATGCTCTGATCCTGTCAAAATGTAGACTTGTCAAGGGACGTTAAAAACTCCCTGATTTGCAAATATTAACTACTATATATAAAATAGATAAAAATAAATTTCTTCTGTATAGGGAACTATATTCAATATCTTACAGTAACTTATGATAAAGAATATGAAAATGAATATATGTATGTAGATGCATGACTGAAACATTATGCTGTACACCAGAAATTGACACATTGTAACTAACTATACTTCAATTTAAAAAAAGGATTAAAATAAAAAACAAAAAACTTCCCTTACTCAAGCGCAGGCATAGACACACACCCTTGGGGAAAAACAAAACCATCAGCTGCCAAATAAAAGAGCTGGTAGTTTCCTGGCTGAGAAGGGAGGCAGGTAAGAGGAAGAAGAAAGTCTTCAATTGGACAGACTGGCCCTAGATATGATCTCATCTGTGAAGTCTTACTCCCACCTCCTATTTTTCCCTCAAAGCTGACTCAGCTTTGGTAAAAAGCCACCAGGTTGTTAGCAATGACAGCCCTGAATGAGTCAACTTTTCAATGAGACGTCACATTGCTCAGCATATTCCTTGGTATAAAGAAAAAAAAAGTGCCTGTATTCTGGAGAAATGCTAGCAGCAGCAGTGGCACCTGGTCTGTTGTAAATTGGGTCAAAGCAATGAAAATCCTCCTGAATTTGTGGTATAATCAATGATCCTGCCCTAATGAAACCATAAATCAGAAAAGATTTACATAAACTGAGTCCCACTTGGCACCTCAACAAATAGCCAGTGATGGATTTTGCATTAAATCGTAAGACTTACCTAACAACCCCATCAGTTACCAATAAAAGGCATCCCTCTGAAATTTCCGTCAATCTCCAGTCTTTCTAAAGCATCCCAGCTGCAAATACACTTGTAGCCATGAAAGCAGATATATCAGGGAAGATGCTCAGATGGCATGTCACAAATTCTAACAGCGATTCGTGGCAGGCAACATAGTAGTTCTCCCAGGAAATTTACCAAAACATAGCTCTCTTATGACAAAACACAAAGAGAAATCCCAGCCTAAGCTGAAAACACCCCATGATCAAATGTATGCTTTCATAGATCAGAAGGTACTCGAGGAGGGGTTAGCAAATTACGAGCTGCCATCTGTTTCTCTAAATGAAATTTTACTGAAACACAGCCACTAATTTATCGATTTACCTATTGCCAATGCTGCTCGTGCAATACAACAGCAAAGGTGTGTAGTTGCAAGAGAAACCTTCTGGCCCCCAAAAGTCTAGCATGTTTACTTTATGGCCCTTTGTATCTGCCAACCCTGCTGCTAGAGAAAAGATAGAGGAAAGTAAAACATGACATTACCTGAGCTCAATCTCTATACTTCTGGGATTTTAACTCTAGAAGCTTCCAGGGTAAACCAAAAAGGATCCAACTCACGAGGTATTTTGAGAACACAGAGAAGACTGTGACGGGCAGAGGTTCAAAATAATAGCTATGAGTTTAACTGGATTTATTGTGTAAGACTTTGAATAAATTTTAGGTTCTCCTAATCTGTTTAATTCTGCCTGGGTGAGAAGTTTCAGAGCGGACGTGATGTGTGATCTGGAGGATTTGAAGAAATAATAAACTCAGAAGAGAGGGGAATTCCGGGAAGAGGAAGCAAAATAATTTCTGCCCAAGAATGAATTACCAGTCAGGTGTTACTTACTTGAAACTTTTTCCTTGCAGGAAGTTTAAAAAAAAAAAACTGTATCTAAAGGATTCACTATGTGTCATCCTCTGTCAGATTTGGGAACTGACCCATGGAATGGCTGAAAAAATGCTTCCCAATCCCACTCATTAGAAAAATATAGTAATAATGATAACGCTTATTGTAATAACCATTACTGCAGAAACTATCATTACCATTAGTATAGGAACCACTGTCTACTGAGTATTTATCACATGCTAAACAAGCATGATGCTCGCTTTATCCCATTTAATCCTCACAGCAGTCCAACGGGACAGACAGGATTATTATCCCCTTTTTACAACTGATAACCTATAACTGAGACAGGTACATAGGATACACATTTCTAAGTAGCAGAGTTTTGGACCCATGTTATTATCATCACACTATTCATTAAATCTTCATGCCCCCAGCCCTGAAAGCCCCATTGCCAAGCCCCCTTACCTCTGCAGACACTACAGCACTGATTCTCCGGGAGAATGTGATCCTCTTCCGAGCAGTTCAAAGGAGGGCACGCTTCTGTAATTTTTACTAAAACTCCACCCTGCAAGCGAAATAATCAGGAAACAAACAAACAGAAGTTCCTATTTTTAGTTGATGATCCAAATATATAATGCTCATTGTTAACAGCCTGCAGTGATAACAACCTACAATAATTAATAGCACTCCCAGGAATGCCACACTAATGACAAAGCTGCAAATTAAATTGATGAGACTCCTGGAAGAGAAGGCCAATTTCCCTTTCTACATCAAAAGAGCCTCAATTCAACAAATGGTTTTGAGTATCTTCTATGTAGCAGAATGTCACTGACAGTGTGGAGCTGGTAAATTTTTTTAACAACTGACTGCTGGATGGGGGAAACCCTAGTTTCAGCATTTTCTGATTTCTGTGCCTAAATACCCTGACATTTTGAATTACCAACATGATATCACTGACCACAGAGTTGGGAAGTTATGTTCAATGATCTCTCATGAGCTTTGATGAGACAGTTTCAGCATTGCCCTGCATCACAAGCACCGTGAAACCAAAGATAAATAAGACACCTTTCTTGCCCTTGATGAACACACAGTTGGGGGGGGACCTCAAGCTAGAAACTGTAATACAATACAGTTAAGTCCTTAAAAAGTGCTCTAATAACAGTACGATAATGTGCTATGGGAGAAAAATTAATTCTGCCCAAGGGGGGAAAATTATCAAGATGCTATATTTGAAGGAACTAAATAATGGAATACTTTAAGAACAGAATTTCCTGGCAGAGGAAACAGACAAGAATCAAAGTGTACAGGTATTGACGAACGGAAAGAGGGTTAGTTAGATGAGCATTAGATTTTCCGTAGAAATAAATAAAATCACTTACAATAAAAATGTAAATAAATCTTCAGCAGTTGATCTTTCTGACCTCACTTTGCCAAGGTCCTCTTTGCTGACATTACTAGCATCTATATTTAGTTTCACTCTGCATTTTTGAAATCAGTTCGTTAATTATTATAAAAAGAGTTTGAGAGTCTACTTTTATCTAAAGTATTAAGTTTTTCTCTCTGATTCTTAAGAGGATGGTTAAGTCAACTGAGAAGCAAGCATCCCCTTTAACACCCAAAGGTAATTCTCCACACAGATGGGCAGCCAGGAGGGATGGGGGAGATTCTGAGCTTCTCCATCTCCAAGAGATGCTGTCATCCCAGTGGCCCCAGAGCTTCCTGGCTTGGCAGGAACTCTCATATCAGACACATCCATTCTTAAATATGAGCATAAGCCTAACTTTAAATGTCAAATATAAATGTAATTTCCAGCTACTTATCATTTGGGTTATTTGCCCCCTGGCTTCCTCCCTTTTCTCATGAATTTCAGCCCAGTCAGCCTAGCCTCTAGAATTCCTTGTGGTTGTCTTTTGTTGTCCTTTGCTTTTCATTTCTCCATCTGTCCCCAGGCCTCGATAGCTCTTGCTTTTCTCCTGTCTTAAAATTGGCCTTAAGAGTCTGAGAAGTGATCCTGCTATTCATCCTCTGTCCTCTTTTTGGCTACATCCCCTTCTCACCCCTCAGTCCAGGCCCCTCGGATGGCACTGAGCCTCCAGAGCCAGCACCAGGCTAAGGTCAGTATGCTCATCAGTGGTCCCTAACCAACTGTCACAAACCACCTGTTAATAACCTTACTGTCAGTAACATAAGCTAAGTGCAAAGGAAAACACAATGTTTCATATTCACCATTGTTGCTTCTGCTTCTGTCCTTCAATATTAATATGTTTATTCATTATCTATGGCCCCCTCGCATAAACAAGAGTGCCAGACACCACTGGACCCCTTTTATCAGTTCGATGTGCCCGTCCTCCAGCTTCGAATGCCTTTCTGCTAACGGCTCACCCCTCCACCCTCAGAGGGTCCCTTGGGACACTGCAGCCACTTCATCCATGCACAGAGTCAGAAGTAACGTACAAGTTCCACATCCCTGACCCCCACTGCCTGACACCAGTGACTGCCAAGCACAGGAAGTTCTTTACCTCAAGAGGAGACTCCAGAACCTGGAGGATCACTGGGGGATCAGGGCACCTCTGGCCTTTCCCCTAGAAGTGCACCTTCGCTGAGCTTCCTGTACCCACTGCAGCCCGTGCCCCCCCCCCGCCCCGACACTTACTGCTTTCCCGGGAGCACTACCTTAATAAACCTCTTGTACTAAAATCCTTAGCTTAGGGTCTGCTTCTGGGAGAATCTAAACTAAGATGATAAGATAAAACTCCACTCTTGCTGTCAAAAACATTGAACTCTTCAAGGAGATTATCTCTAGGTGAGATTCTGGAGTGATTTCCTTTTTCCTCCTTATAATTCCTTCCTTTCTCTATATTCCAAATTTTATATCTTGAATATATATTTGCTTTTGTAGGAAAGAGGACAATATTAAAAATGCTACAGAAGACTTTTTTAAAATAATTACTCATGAAAAGTTCTCTTTTTTATATAAAAAGACTGCTTTGACTGCTGATTAAATCGGTCAACAATTCCAATCAACCTTTAACGTATTTAATGAGCACGATCGTAATTCCAAATGTTCAAATAGAGACAAACCCTTCTGCATGAATTTGGAAATAATATGAACTGTGATTACAGTAACATAAGTACCACCAAATCAATTCAGTCCAGCTACATAATTTGGCACAAAGCTTTTTTTAACTTTATTTTGAAAACTCTCTCTAATAAGAAGTATCTGATGATTAACATTTTAAAATCCTTCTGATTATGGTCTGTTATTCTATGGCCTCTGGATCTCTGCACTGGTGGAAACGTGCAATTCTTCTGTTCTTTCTCATTTAGAGTGGCCGTCACCATGTCACCGGTCAGACAGAAACACTCTGCAGCTCTGTACTAATCGCTGTGCTTCAACCTGAATTTCTAACAACATGTAAAACTCACATCTGTAGGTTTAAAAAAAAATGTTGCTAGCCTAAAAAAAATGTTACAGGGCAGCAAAACTGCACAAAACAGACCATGACTGCTAGGAGAGTTTATTCTTTTTGATTTTTTAAAAAACAGTCTGTTAACTTCTGGAAACACTTGGTAAAAATATTTAAAACAAGAGTTTGTTTCTTTTCTAACGGGTGTTGCTGAAGC